TTCTGAGGAAATGGTGATGAGAAAAAGACAAGGCCTGAAAGGCTGAAGCAGGACTAGAAAAATAGAACAGTAGCAACAGCATTCTGAACTTCTTCCAGCTGTTAGTCAACTACATTTATCTACTCGCTCCATAAACAACTGATATGCCCTAGACTGCACAGCTAGAGACAGGTCTTAAGAAATAAGCTGAATTATTACCTCTACTTTATTGCTTAGAATGTTATTGTAAATTATTTGTTTATTCAGATCTTTGGTTTGCTTTCCCCCCTTTCTGGGTTAAGTGAATCACATTTTTGTTCTGTACATTGCTGACTGATTTTTCCCAACCTGCTTTAAGAGAATAGGAGTCCTGTTGAGCTTGGAGGCATCACGTGTGATTTTGGTGTCAGCATCTTCACATTCTCTACTGGATTGCTGGTAGGAAAAGTGGGATTACATATTACGGGGATCATCTTTCCAACTCTGACCATTCAATTTCTTAAAATTTATTCTAAAAGCCTTTGTAGACTATCAGCTTCCTGATATGAACTTTTGCTGCCTTTTAATGTCCACCCATTTCATGTATATCTCACAATACTTCGATCAAGCCCTGTCAGCTTTGTCCTTCCTGTCTTAATGCATGGTCAGCCTATAGATTATAACTGTCACAAGGAGCCTGCTTTAAATCACTCCACAACTGTTACCATGTTGATTTATTAAGTACCAACAATGGCAGATGATATACAAAATAGTGAGTTGAACGATAATATGATCATTCAGTTGACTCACAAGCCAGAGGCTGTACTTTCTAATGGAGTATGACAGTTAAGGGTAAATGTCTTCCCAACAGGTAGACTGAAAATATCCTTCTTTTCCCTCCAAGCTTGGCACATTGCAGATGTTTTTTTTCCCCCTAATTCTACAATGCATGGTTAAAACCTGGTGGTCATAAATCACATCAGACAATCAACTGCCATGTCTGAAAAGTCTTATTGAAGTAGAAGCTTTTTTGCAATGAATAGGGCTTGTGCCAATGTAGCACTTTGAGACTCTGTGTTTTAATAAGGCCGGCTTTGTAATAGCACTAGAAACAGAGATTTCACTTACCTTAATGGGAATTTTGGCTGTGGTTGGTTCTGATATGTTTACATTTCAAAAGCAAGTGCTATTTCAAAATGCTTAGAAAGGTTGCATTTGGGATTAATTGCTGAAAACAAATGAAGCCCATTTTCCGTAATACTGCAATGAAGTAAGTTGAATAGAAACTGCCTTTAGTATTCATGACTTAGAATGAATTCTCAGTAGTTTGCTCTGTGACAGTGAAGTTTTACTGAGATAATTTACACTGTCTCAGAAATGATAAAGCAAAATCCAGAAGCTGTTAAATGTATTTAAGGTCCATTTGGAGAAATGCATTGCTGAGACATTCATTCCTCTTGTTTCTGTCTCTACTTGGTCTACAAACTGAATGCCCATCACTGGAAATTATTAGTTTTCCAGAGGTTGCCTAGCTACCTGAATATTTCCAGAAGAGAAGGGGTAAAGAAACTTACTGGTTGGAGTTTGTTCAGTCCTCCTGAAATTTGTCTTTCTTTTATTTTCTCTCTCTTTCCTGGTAGCAAGTGACCTATATATCAGTATGGAAAGGCTCTGTGTCCTTTAGAATTGTTAGAAGCACAAACAGCTCATGCTCCATGTTATGTTCCTCCCCACACTGAAGGTCAAACTGAGAAACAGATCCTCTGCTGGCATTGCTTGAATTGGAACCTCTTGGGGGTAAAACAGAGAATGGCAGCAAATGCAGGAGCCTGGATTTGTGGAGGGAGAAATGCAATGCAGTGAGAATGGAAATTCAGCTCCACCTTCCTTCTGTTTTTAAAGGGCCAGTAGTTTTTCAGGGCAGAAGACAAATAAAATCTCTGCATTTCCTACTTCTGCCAGCCTTGGCCGGAGGGCAATGTCTATTTCTTACTTTCTTGACTGGAGTAGTTTGGACCCTGCAAGGTTACTTTTTGGAAAAGCCAACAGACAGAAAATATATAAAAAGTCTTGGCAAGAGTTACATTGCATCAAATGTATATGTATGAATAACTTTATTCATCAGCTATTGCTCACAGTTCTTGTTTTATGAATTATACTGAATCAAATATGTTAACATTACTATAGAGTAACGTTTTGAATAACAGAAACATTATTTCTAAAATAAGGTTGTTACCACTTGAGGGCACTAATGTGTTTGCTTCATGCATTTGGTGATGGAGAGATAAGTAAACTTAAATATGCAGAAAATGCTAAAATGTTCTTAATAAATGTTATTTATGTAAGATATACAGGGTAGCATAACTTATTTATATATAAGATATACAGGGTAGCATAACTTATTTGGCTAATATATTGGTTGGAAACTTTGTTAATTGCTAATCTCGAGTTAGAAATGCAAATAGGTATTTAAACCAAAAAATACACACTTTGGAAATTCTTGCAAGATACTGCTTTTTTATTTTTATCATGGGCTGTTGTTAACACTTTGAACTTTTGCTGTTCTCAAAAAAAGAAACAAAGTTGAGTTCAGCAAATATAAGATATAAAGAAATGAATATAAAGTAATGAAATAAATTTGACTCAAAGTACACTTTTCAAAAGCAGAGTTTTGATATGAAAGAAAAGGCCAGCAATAAATTTCAGACAATTTATATTTTTTATGATTTGCAACTTAGGTTAAAGCATGTGGGAGTATATTTAAACAGTCATGAGTCATTATGGAGAATTATGGACATTGCAAATGTTATTGCTAGAGCTATAAAAAAAGGAATATGTAAACTCCCCTTAATTGTCTGTCTCCATGGTGCAACTCTACATTGAACCCTGTAATAACCTGTCCATGTGCTAATTTCTTTTAATTTCAGGTTAATATACTGTTCATTCCAAACTGGCAAATCCAATAATAAACAGCACTAGTCCCAATTCTTTCATGGGTTTTCGTGGATATAGCTTCATCCATGTGAGGAAAGGAGGCTGGGGGAGGGAGTGGGGGGGGGGGACACCTGGGTACTGCTTATTTTAAAGGTGCCTGTCTGCTCCTTGCCCTACCTCCTCTCCATCCGCAAAACTCCAAGGTTGCTCTTGTTACTTTGTAGTTGTAGTTGGCACAGTTGTGTTTTTAACCAGCTACAAGGGTGAAATAAGGGCATTCTGAGTCCCAGCTGACCTTGAAGTGGGTTTCTGAAGTCAGACTGGGATTCCAGACAGTCCTGTTTAGCAGACACAGAACTGTGCATTGAACTCAGGGTATTATGAAAGAGAAGTGTAAGGAAGGGGAAGAGGCACATCATAAGTTCCACTAAAATTATAAATAAAGGTTTACTTTATTTATAACACAAACGGATGGGATTTCTAGGAGAGTAAGAGTGAAGCACCCAGAAGAGGCTCTCAGATCAAAAGAAATGTGTTAACTATTGTTCTAACTAGGCTTTAATTCTAATAACATTTGGTGGCCAGTGCAGCTATGAGAGAGGAACAGTTCATTTGGCCTTCACAGTCATCTCTAACTGCCCCCTTCCCCTGCCAAGTACAGGTCTGAGAAGTGAAACTGTACCTCTTCTCTCTCTTACTGGATTGTATTAAGGAGGAGGGGAATCCCTTCTTGTTAGACAGCTCCTCAGGTCAATCTGTCACTTTTGCTAGAAGCAATTAATGGACCAAATGAAGAAGGTGTCTAGACAAAAAATAAGCACAAGTACAGAGGTATATAAAGACAAGATTATGATAGATTTAGGATAAGGATGAATTTCAGTGCTGTCTTATATAAATATTAGCTCTAAATTTTGTGGGGAAAATTCTTCATACAACTTTTCTATGCTTATCTTTATTCACTGGTTCCCAGTAAAAGTTAATGGAAACAGTGGTCTGTCTGTCTGTCTTTCTAGCATGTTCTTTGAAGTTAAGCCTGAAAAATATACATTTGCTAAGGTGCTGCATATGCATTTATATTTGCCTCATAATGATATGCTCTTAGAGTAAGAACATATTTTTCAATTTGGTCTTTCTTCTGCACATATGTTTCTTAAACACCAAGCCCATTTGTTCACAGCAACCCCCCCCCCTTTTTTTTAGAACAGAAGGCACTTTTGAACTCTGTTTGTGATAAGGAATGGGAATCTGTTGTTTAATCTCCCAGCTACAGCAACAACATCTCAGTAGGGATGCTCAAGGCTTTGTTCCTACCTGAAGTAGCATTTGAATTCTAGGATGGAATTAGCTTAAAATGTGTTTGCACAGAAATGCTTGGTAAGGTGCATGCAATAATTTAGAACAAGAGTTTGGTATTGTCCTGTATCATGTACTCTTTTGTTTACAAAGAGTCACTGTTGGATTATTTTATGGTTTGCTGTAGCTTACAATTTTTAAGTGGATTACATGGCTAACTAGCAAAGCTTGACTGCACAAGAAAATGGTTGCATACATTATGAGGACGTAAAGAAACTGCAAACATATCCAATGTAGCCATATATGTGAAAAATTCATCTGTCTCAACAATATACTCCAGCTAATGAATTCAGTAACTCATTACTTGCAGGTGGGACACTGTACTGAGGAGGACAGAACAACAGGTTCAGGTTTTTCAACCCCATATTGTCTGGCTCCACTATGACCAGAGCGTGCTACTGCACTCACTCCTCTACTTGTCTACCTTTCCAGCTCTGTTATTGCATCCTCACAAATTCGGGGTACAAATAAGGAATGTACCACTCTTGTGGTATCTTCTCCCTACTGAGATAGTCTACATGAAAAAGGCAAGCAGGGATTCACCTGTGTGCCCTCCTAAACCTAAGTTGCTATACTGTGACCAGTTTATAATTATTTGACATATAAGTTGAGAATATGCGACATTTATTATATGAACATGTACATTAAATAATAGCTTATTTATCTAATTGTTTTACTGCTGCAGTCTCCCTAGTGGATCTACTATTAATATTGCTGGAGCAATTATTTACTTGCTACTTTTATTTAATTTGCAGAAGATCTTGATGATTTACGAATGGAAGGGGTAACCAGTGTCCTTTCCTCTGGGAGCAAATTCAACCAAACTCGAAGTACCTATATAGCTGAACCACAAGCCAAAGTCACATTGAACATTTGTGCAAGATGTGCCAGGTAAATAATATACAGTCATGCTCATAAATATATGTCTGGTTTTTGATCTTTCATATTAATATTGTGGGTTTTTAGAAAACTGTATATTGTAACATGGAATTTACAGCAATTCTAGCCAGGCTCCTATGGAAAGGGAAATAATATTTCCCTATCTAATATTTTAATAAAGGAAGGATCCTTTCTCAATTGCCTATTTATTTTTAACCCTGACTTGCAATGCCTTTCATCAGAAATTAATCTATGAAACCCAGCTTCTGGACATTGAAAAGCCACAGCATCTGAATTCAGTTTGGAAAACAGTGATTCTACAGCAGTTAAAAGTTGCTTGAAATCTTCCTTATGTTTTGGCCTACAACTCTCTTAATTCCTATATGCAGAACTGCTGGTGATTGTTAGGAGAGGAGGCTACATTTATTACAGTTAAAATCCTGAGAGGGACTCTAACCATGTCTGAGGACCCAGCAGGTTCGGAAAGAAGAGTGCCAGTTGAACAGGGATTAATAGAGTCTTTGACAGCCAGAATTCTTTCCCTCTTAGTATGGTCTGTTATTGCACCTTATTTTTTACTGCCTGCTACCCTAATTGATTAAGGATTGAAAAAGGATTTCTGAAGTTCCCTTTCTATATTACACCATTCACATTAACAGTGAACTAAATTGTTCCAAGTGCTTATAAGTCTTGTGTCACAGCTTACAGCTATTTTCCAGGTTCTGTTTTTGGTTTTTTTTTTTTTTGTCTCTGTGTTTGATTACTTACCTGCATTTCTGTGGCTTTTCAAAGATGATACAGGATATTTATAGCCTCAAAAATGCACCTGTGTAAATGAAAATTTGGTTGCATGGTTGTCTTCTGAGTTTTCATGCCGTTGCCTCATAACACTTCACAATCCTATCCCTTTGGAAGGAATGTAATCAATATGAAATCTTTCTGGCTTTGGCAGCTGGAAGTTATTTTTCCATCTACAGTGTGAGTGCCAAAAATGAAACAGCCAAATCAATTCTGAAGGTAATGTTAACTGAAAATCCTTTGATTTTTTTTCAGACACAAATCTTCATTTCTGAGAAGGGCTTTCAAGTGGCAGTAGTAGCCAACTCAATTTCTGTAAGGGCTACAGATCAGCAAACACATTATTTGGAGAAAATACATGCACCAATTGTATTCTCTTTTGCTGCTTTCTATTCAAATGTGCCCAGAGAAGGTTAATTAAATATAAACAAAGGGAATCTGTGCTGTTATCAAGCTAAAATTTGTCTGTTCTCCACTCTGCTTTTATATAAAATTATCTATGTTTTAAAGCTGCCTCTTCTTGAAAGCTACCTACGTGGCGATGCTGACTGAATAACACTTCTAGAAATACCCCATAACTTGATCATATGATCATAGTGTGGTACTGTTGTTAGAAAAAGTTGTCTTACCATTTAAGAGAAGACACCAGAATATGAATCAAGCTGTGGTTCCATGTCACTGACTTGTAGCTGCTGCAGATGCTGCTTAGGCAGTTCACCCAGTCTTTTACTAAATCAGAAAGTACAAAATGCTAAACACCCAAGCAATTAAGCTATTCATAATCTGACTATTTTCAATTGACAGAACTATCCATATGTTAAAATCTTGTCCCATGCCTACCCTTTGTTGTTGCCTCATGACTTGTAGCAACTAAATTTTGGAAGTGAAGTGAGGATTTATTTTTACCTTGCTTGGATTAGGGACATCTTCTAGTGCAATCCCACCATTCAGTTACTGTTGGCAAATTTTATCTTGCTGTAGTAGATAGGGCATAGAATTGCCTTAGTAGACCACCTTTTCTCACTCAGTACATGCTTACATCATGCAGGTAGCAGATGTGTCATCTCTGCCACCTGCCTGTCGTTCTCTGTTAAGAAGGCCATGCACATCGTGTATGATACAAATATCAGGTGGTGACAGCTGGACAAACCTCCGGGATAGCTTGGTATACTTTCTGGTCTGGTCTAGCTTTTCATTAGATGTGATGTGTGGTGGGATCCAGGTACTGACAGTTTGATAGCAAAAGTCTCCTTTGGTCATCCCATGACCCAACAGAGATACACCTTCTGTTGAAGAAAAATTGTACTGCAGATGAACTAGGTACTACTTATAACTGTAGTAATGTAACAGTCTATAATTTACACAATAGTGTTTTCATATGTCTTGAACTTAGAATATGCTATTACTGGAGTAGATTTCTTTTTGTAGTGGTGCAAGGAGTATTCACTAATTGATTTGATGATTACCTAACACTGTTACTGCTACTAACATCAAAATACAGTGAACTTAACTAAGTTTAAAATACATTGAATTAACTCATGTTAAGTTTCAAATATAGAGAAATGGGCATGAAGTAATAGAAATAGCAAAGTTTGGCTCTGAAATCCTGGGACTCAGAATGTCTCAGAAAAAGAATCCTTGGCTTCAGGAATGCCTGCTAAAGCAATCAGATGTTTGCAGAAGAGGGCTTCTCTGGTGACAAGCATGACAGGAATTAAACAGTTTGATAAGTCTTTCCCAGTGTTCAGATCTTCCAACTGCATTCTACCACTGAGCATCTGGGCCAAATGCCCTCACATGCCAAGTAGCCAGATGTTCTTGCTATATATTTTGGACAGAAGTTAGCCTTGAAAAATACAATGCAGGTACATTTCCATAGACATTAGGACACAGGGATGGATGCATTTTCTTTAAAAAAAAATCCTCCTGTTGTGGCAACATTTAAACCAACAGATTCCTGGAAGTAAATAATCTTCAGCCAACAGATTACTGGAAGCAAGGAACTGTTTTGATTGTAAACATTCATGCTTCATGTTGTCTTCTTACAGTCAGTGCGAAAAAGGGATCTCATATAATTTGAAAGTAATAGAATTCCTGAGATCACAATGTCACAAATTATATGATATGAATTAAGTTATCACAGTAGTTTTATATGCTGTGGTTTGTTAATTAACTCTGTGAATATTTAGACTTGGAACTAGATGAATCAAAAGTATAAAAATCAACATTGAGTCACGTTATAGAAATAAGACATATTTATTCTTCACAGCATTCTAGTGGTAGTTTGTGTACTATTTCTCCTGCAATCTTTATAACAGCACTTTTTGATACATCTATAATAATTTCGGCTCTTACTTTATAATTACCTTTGCTTTGTACCTTATTTCACACACATCTTTATTAGAAGCATCCTGAAAATGTGAATGGATTATGGAGTGAATGAAAAAATGATCCTTCTTTACAATAAACTGACCATTTAATTCAGTGAGACACACTTCTGAATAAGGAAGCACAAATTTTGCTTTTGTGGCCTTACTCCTATGTGTATATATTGGAAATAAGTTCCATCAAATTTAGTAGACATATTTCTAATAAACCATGAGTTGGGTATATTATAAAGCTATGCCATAAAGTACAGTTAAATACATTTAAGTCTTTTGCTTTCACTTGTGCTGTTTGTTGGATTGTGCTTAAATGAAAAATGTATACAATAATCCAGGAACTACTATCATTTTGAATCCCATGCTGCTAAATCAATTTCATGGTAAACTCCCTGTGAATTTCCCCCTTTGAAAAATATGGCTGTCTCATTACTTCCAAAATCCCAGCTTTGTCATGGGAAACAAACAACATAAGACAAGAGAGTTATGTTACAGCTTAACCAAAATCTCATGAGGCATAGAATTTCCCTCGTTTACCACATATTCCCACTCAGTAAATCCAGAAACAACACTTGAAAAAGTTGATGTGATAATCAAAACATTTCCTGTTATAAAGGGTTATAGAGTATGTCACAAAGAATTGCTCTCTCTGTAAGGAAAAGTAGGAATGGTTGCAGTCTTAATTGTCCTGTTGCACGGAATATATGTTCATTTTGTGTGTGCATGTGCACATGTATTTTCACAACCACAGATGCTCATGAGTAAGCCCTACTCTCATTAGGACAGCTTTACAATAACCAGCTATATGGCATTGCACCTAATTGATGGAATAATCCTTCAAATGCTGTGGTGCAAAATTACAATCTACAGTACATCCTTTGTGAATAAAATTGCATTTTGTAAAATGCCACAACTGAAGAACGTATGATGAAATTAACCAATGAATCTTAAGTTAATAATCATACTGATTATATCTAAGAATAGAGCATGGCTCCAAAAAGATATACATAACTTTACTGAACCATTATTGGTTTGTTTGCAGGATTGCCTGTGAAACGATCCAAGTTCATCTTCATAAAAGGGGCTTTTCTTTCCCGCCTTTCCATCTGCAGCCCTCTCTGTACCTCTTGTTGAGCAATGGAGTGGGCATTAAATCTCTAATCTGTCTACCACCCCAAACCAAGATAGAGTCACTCTAGACTAGTAGTCAGATGGTCAGGGAGCCTGGAGAAGGAGATAGAATTTGAACAGAACATGGCAATCTCATTCTCCCTGGCCCTCAAGTCTATACTACTGTTGGATCAAGTGGGGATTATTGGGAATCACTAATTCTTCCTGGTTCACCCTAGGTCACAGTAATGTAAGCCAGATTGGCCTCCTCATCCACTCCTCATCTTGTTTTAGACCTCTCCAGCATTTAAAAGCAGCACCTGGAGTCCTGATAAGGCAGCTTCCAGATCTCCTTTGAGGGCTGGAACATGGAGCAGCCATTAATTATTTTGACTGTATTCTCCTTACTTGGGTAGCCTTCCTTCCAGCACTAAATCAAAGCAATAAATAACTATCTCCTCTTACCTATCACTATACTGTTTGCAGCCCAACAGATTCAGGTGCTTGACTCTATATCTTCCTACCAAGGCTCATTCTCAGGCCCTAAGAAGCAAACAAAAAGAAATAAGAAGATGTTAGGGGGCATCCCTTGTACTCTCCCAAGGGCATGCTCTTTGGTATTATCCCCTTCAGGGTAATTAATTTCTGCCTCCTTTCATGCACTGGTAGATGAAGGAATCCTCAGACAGAACCTGAGGCAAATCTCGACTTGAGAAGCAGGGTCCAGTCAAGTGAGAACAGCAAGAGGAAGAAGAAATTGGCTAAAAGATTCCAACTTAGTTCCCTTCCTGGAATGTATTCCAGTAGTAGTAGGTCAAAATGGACCACTGGAAAATGGTCTTTGTCCCACTTTTCTGTGAATTATGGTTGGCTGGTAGCATCCAAGAAAAAATGGTATGCCAGTCTTGTTGATGAAAACTGCCTTATTGACTTATTCTCTTCTAAGCTGCAGAGTTGATGGCAATGTATGCATTCACAAAACTGTTTCCTACAGATCCCTGCAGCTTATGGAAACATATTAGAGGGGCTGCACTTACTCTATAAAAGCTGGTGTCTGGGCAAATGGGATGCAGTAATGTAGATGGCTGATAAAGTACAATTAAGGGGAAAAAGAACGTTAAGAATTTGTAGACATTTATCTATTTTTTCATTAGACGTGACAGGTCAGAGACAGACTAACATTAAGAGAAGGATGACAAATTCTATTACACAGGCCATTAATTTTAATTCAAATTCTAATGCTAGTCAGTTAGTGAATGGAAAAGCAAGAAAGAGGAATGTCTAAATGCTTCCTCTCTGTGGATGTCTTGGAGTGCTGTGACAGAAAAGAAATAGCTTTCATTCAAAATCTGTTTTCCATTATCCCTTGTCCTTCTGTCTTGGAAGGCCCAAACTACAAGTTATTTTAAATATCTTGCTGTATCTTTCTTAAACCTTAAAGTAATTGCAGGAGATCAGGACCATAGTGTGAAGCTAGCAGTCTCTTTTCCTTCCACTGCAATCCCAATCCAATTTGAGTTTTCCATATCCAATCCTGTCCAATTCAATTAAATTCCTAGCATTCCCAGCCATATCGGGAAGTGCTGGGAAGACTTTTTTTACTATCTAAACATGCATTGGATTGTCCCCTAAAGTAATCAGTAGTTCCTCTCTTAGATAAATTTGTTTTATCAGTTTGTTGCAATAACATTAAGTTTGTTTGTTTTAATGAAAGATGGGTAGACTGCAGGGATAGGAGATCTTCCTTGATTTTTATCCAACAAATAACCACAACCCAGCTGCAAAATAAATTTAGAATTAAAGAATTCTGAGGTCAGAAATTTTCCCAGGAATTTGACTAGCGGATATAACAGAGCCCACAATAGTTCTGCAGAAAAATCCAAGCTTCACCTCTCCAAACCAGAAGAAAATCATTTTGTTGTTCGTCATGATAAGAAATCCCTGCCAATTGTCTACAAATTGCTATGAGATCCCCGCTTAACTTCAGAAAACCCCTGTTTTTAACTGACCCATTTTTTATTTACTGCATTTTAATCTGATTCCCCCCCCCCGAACAATAATTGTCACCCATAGTAGTTCACAACAATAATAAAAAAGAGGCAGCTTCTGCTGTCATGCTTACAAAGTTACAAACTCAGATGAAACTAATAAGGGGAACTGGAGTGTGGGGAAGTGGAGGGAGATCCGTTTTTCAAAGTAGGAACAAAGTGGTGAGGTGTAAGTGGGCATTTAAATAAGGGGAGGCTGATTTCCCCTTGCTGCTGATCTTGCTTGAATGAGATACCTGTTCTTAATGCAAATGGAAGATCATGAGGTGTGTTCCACTGATTCTGTTTGCACATGCATGGTATGGGTAACAGGTCACAGTGGATTAGTTCCCCTTGCTTGTGAGCACAGTTCATTGCTACAGGGGAAGAAGGAGGAAGGCTCATGGGGTCCTAATAGGGGCTGCTACTTTAGCTCTATGCAAGCACAGCTCCGTGTGGCTAGCAGCACCCACTGCAGCTGTACATCGTTGTGTCCACAGCCAGCAGTAAGTGAAAATAGTTGTATATACCTATACACTGTTACACCAGCAGGTAGTTACTTCTGTGCTTCTAGCATCTTGCAGTACCCTCTGGAAAAGCATCAGTTCCCCCTTTATTTAATGTGGAGATACTTAGTGATGAAAGCTGGAAACCTTCCAGCTGTCTCCAAGAGATACTATGCAGATGAATACTGTTGTATTTGCCCAATGAAACCAGAATGAATGGATCTTCTATACAGTTTAACAATGGTTTGCATTTTTATTATCCAGACTGCAAGGTGATAACTTGGCAGAAGGGACAGAAGATGTGTCTGTTGCCTCTCAGACACTTGAACAAGAAGTATCAGAATCTGTTGGTGAGTTCCTGGGAGTCCTGATGAGCAGCTCATATCCCATCAGTAAAGGGTTAATTTCTTATACTTGTGCATAAATATAACCTTTTATGAAATGAACAAATGAACTCAATCCAATATTTTCAGAAAAACTGGATGCCATTTATTAATTAGAGTTTGGATGAGTGAGTGACTCTTGATATTTTGAGTATGAAATAACTGTTATTGAAAATGAATCTGCATTAGGATACTATATTTAATAGAGAGTATTGGAAATCGTTAAGAGGTGGGTAATAACAATAAAATAGTTTTAAAAACAGAAAAGTTCATGAGAACTATAGTATTTCATATAGAAGAATCTGAATCAATTCTATCAATATGCTTTGAAAAGTTACATTCTAAGATAGTGAAAAATAGTTTTGCTTAATTCTATAGAGAAATGCTTTAAGCCTTAAGAGAAACTATTGTTTTGTAAATTCATACCTCAGTTATCAGATCATATTAGTGCAGGGGATGGAAAGAAATTTAGTTCATCTGATTCTTTTCTTGTTATTTGTTAGATTTTCCTCTCTTGGCTCTCAGTTTTGTTCATGGTGTATTCCCTGCTGAGTTTAGACTTAATACAGTGTGGAAAATGCTGATGTAAACCTGCTTTTTGAAGACACCAGCCCAATGCTGAGGCCTGACAGAATTAAAGTGCTTATCTCTGCTTTTCGGATAGTGATATATAACTGGGTTAGTAGGCACACTGTTATTATACTCAAAATAGCTCTCCTGGGCAGTAAGTTCATTATGAATTAGGTTAGAACTTGCAATGCATGATTCTGGAGTAGGTTTCACAGATCCTGTATCAGGTATTGTGAGTTCTGTTACAACTTAACTTTTAAGTTATTGCAAATATAGCCTGTAATAAAGCAGGAATATCTTCTCATCAGATTTTGGGATCCAGTATATTATTACCATACGATTTAGCACTTGCAATATATACTGTACCTACAAAAAACTACTAGAATCATTCTGGGTTAGAAGCCGCAGTGCAGTCTGTATTTCCTACATGGTGTCTTGTTTGAGGGCAACAAGCTACCCTTGCAACCCATGGCTTGTTGAGGAGTTGTTGAACTCATGATGGATTGTCATGTTCTCAAACCTGGGAAACTAACCCCATTCTTGATTTCAGGAAGCAATGAACCTCTTTCAGCTCTTGCCTGGACCATTGCCAGTTACAGTCACCTCATCAATGCCCAAGCAGCTCAATGGAGAAATAGCATTCACTTCCTATCTCCTACCATGACTGTAAGCCCATCTTTGCTTGCTATGGCTTTCATCTCTCTCCCCACCTTTTGCGGATTCCCAGCTGAAAGCTAGTGACAGCTCCTACAACAAGTGGCACAGTGGAGGGGCCATCACTGATTGGTAACCTCTTTTTAAAACCTTTAAGTATAACCAGCCTTGCTAGTTATACTTGTGCAACAGTTGGGCTGCTTCCTGCCCAACTTGTTTGGTGCAAGTTGGGTTCAGAGCAAAGAGAAAGTGGACCAGAGTATGGAGAGCTAAACCAAGAAAATCTGTAGTATCATGGAACTTGGGCAGCTCACAAAGGCCAGGGATCCTTTTAAAGTGGGTTTTTGATAGGTGCTTTTTGACAGGGATTTCTGCATATAATCTAGACCAGTGATGGCGAACCTTTTAGAGACCAAGTGCCCAAACTGCAACCCAGAACCCACTTATTTATCACAAAATGGCAACACTACAGTAAAACCTGAATACTGAGGTTTTAGTTTAGAAAAAAATACATACATGAACACCTTTGTCTTAAAAGAAAAACACAAAGAGAAAGAGCCATGTTCATGTTCAGTGCTCCCAAGTTGGGGGACGCCAGGCTTGCTTGTGCCTGGGCATGTGCACTCCCTCCCTTCTCGCCCCCAAACCAGCCACCAGGAATGCCTCAGGAGCTTTGGCAATGCTTGAAAGTTTACTGCAGGGGCGGAATGGGGGGAAAGAGACCTAAACTAAAGGTGAAGAGAGGCTATCACTGATCCCTTCCATGCTTCCTTTGGGATCTTCCTTGAGGCATCCCCACAGAGCTGCCAAGCCTTGGTGAGTGGGGTCAGGTGGAGAGAGGGGTCCCCATCGTGCTCCCACTCATTTCGCTTCGCAGCACTTCCAGCCTCCACTTTTCTTTGTTTTGGCCTTCCTCCGCAGGAAGCACCATATTGATTCCAGCCGCCGTCTCTCTCCTCTTCCTTGCTCCAGCTGCTGCTGCTGCTCCGCCACCTCGACCCCATTGCTCGCTTCCTTCGCCCAGCTTCCCCCCCACCACCGCAGCCACCAGCATGGGAACCCAGCCTGCGGCTACCGAGTCAGCACGGTCCCACCACTGCACTAGGAGGGTGGCTTGGGTGGTTGCTCACATGCTGTGGGCCGGGAGGAGGAGGAGTCAGGAGGAGGGTGCCACTGCCAGTGCTCGGCACGCGTGCCCGCTGCTCCCCCACTGCCTTCCTGGCGCACCCGCCATGGCAGTTGTGCCTGCCTCTGGCCACCTGTTCAACGCCGCCTCTTGTGGCAAATCGTGTCTAATAGGTGATTTCGTCACCTGGCGCCGTTACTCTTTCTGAATATGTGCATGGCTGCTGGGCTGATGCTGGGGTGACTTGGCTTGTGTGCCAACAGAGACGGCTCTGCATGCCCACTGTGGCATGCGTGCCATAAGTTTACCATCACTGATCTAGATGATCCTATCAAAATCTGATTTTAAAAGAAAGCATGAGTTTTGACAGGAGCCTGTGAGTTTGACAGGTTGTCAGATGACATGACAATCCATCACAAATAATTCACTGTGAGTTGTTGCATCATGTGAACCCAGACTGTTTCATGCAGAGTGACTTGTTTTGGGGCAGCCGTTCACCCTGGTAACCCATGGCTCATAGGGATTGCTGAATGTCCAATTGCTGTCGGAATATGGCTTTCCAAAGTCAAGACAGAAAGCATAATGCAACCTTTAATTGTAGTAATCCTAGTAACCTGCTATTGGCCTTTCTAGGGCAATAAAGATCTACAGAAACAAATTATGGCAAAGTCTCAGTGAAAAGTTAGGCCAGCAAAATCATGAGAAAAAGGTGAACACTGAAAGTGCAGCTCACAAAGTCCCATAGAGTTCTGTTTAAGATGGGAAGCTTTCCCGATTTTCAGGGTGTAGTTTTCTGCAGAAGCATTGGAATCTGCACTAGTTTTGATCCTGGCAGGGATACCTGGTCATGAGTGGGTGCTTCACTTGACTGGGCATTTTTGCCCTGCACCCTTTTGCTGATGATGGACCAAAAGTGACATCTCTGAAACACCTTCTTTAGCAACATCCTCCTGCTGTTCTGCTCCAGGGATGTTGTCCCTGGCCAAGACACTAGATCGTCCTTCAGGCCAAGTCTTTCAGCTGTAGAAGACAGGTTGTATTTTTCTCCAGCCCTCCCTCTCTCTCTCTTTGTTATACACTTGGGTTAGGGTCAGGGTGCTGGTTGGTAGACCTGAATTCTCAGTACTCTGGTTTCCTATGGCTGGACCTGACTTCTTCAAGTCGGAATAGTTGTCTGGGGCTAAAGCTCTGGTACAAGGTCACAAATCACATAGTTATATTGTTGAAAATCTCAGAGACTGAATCCTTGTGGTTGTGGGAAGTGGCAAAAGAACTGCATACCAAGAGCAACAAAAATCTCTTGATCTTGGCAAACTTTCCCAGAGCATCACCAGTGACACTTGGGAACAACTATTAGTGGCTTGTTGCCTTTAAAAAAATATTTGCCAGTTTTTGCAGGTGAGCACTTATAGCTGCCTCAAGTGAAGTCTTGCCTGGTCAGTGTCCTGCAACTTTCTGCTGTTAAGACACAATTGGTAACATCCATGGACATTAACTAATAAGGCTGCACACAGTTGACAACTGCCACTGAAAAGCAAAGAGACAAAGGGATATGATATCTCCCCTATAGATAAAAAGACAGATGAAACAGGGTCATGATCAGGACAGGAAAGGAGAGACAAGATAGGTTCTGCTGTGTTGGACCCATGGGTTCTGGCTGGAGAACCAGAGGAACAACAGCAGCATCAGGAGAACTCACAATATGCTTGACTCCTATCAGCATACCATAGGTTGTTCCATGAACCAACTACACTGTGCATATTATTTGAAGATGACTTGCTTTGCCTTGTGAACTTTCCCTGTATGGCACTGGCATGCTGCTGCTGAACCTCTAGTACCCCATAAATATTGCTAATGTACCATACACAACCAGTATGTCATTTTAAATTAAAATGTTATTTGCTACATTTAAAAAAAATGTGAGGATGGTCACTGATTCTGGAGTGCATGATTCCAGCCAGTAATTCATAGACTTCTATTGCTCCATCAGGTCATCACTAATAAACCAATTATTTTGCCATTACAAACCTGCAATATAATCTGATTAAAAGGTGCATTTTATATTGAACCTCATTTTGTATAATAAATTGTATCATCATCATCAAATAATATATTTTATGATAATAATAATTCCATTTCCCTTTGGATTGTAAGGGGAGACATAGAAACTTTGCATATCTTATAATTATCCCTGTCACATAATATGTACGTAACAAACCTTCATGATGTTTGAAAAAGGAACTTCCTTAAGAATTCAAGAAAGGTTTTATAAAATGACTTTTCCCTAACAAATTTGCCTGATGAAATCCCTTTGTAAATACACTGTGATCTGATAAAGAAGGTATCACACCCTTAAAATGTTTGAAGTGTTGTCATCTAGGATATAGTAAATCTCAAATTCATAAAGCTATTTCAGCATCTAATATTTTATGGAAAATGCATCACTTTTCTATATCAGTCAACAGATAAATTTGTACCAATTCAAAATTGTCTAATTTATATAGGATTCAATTAAAAAGGCATGTCAAGCATAAATCCATCTTTGGATGGAAGCAGGAATATTACAATAGGGCACACATTCAGATTCATATACTGATGGCAATTAGCAATTAAAGTATCACACCTACTTTTCAGACATAATGTTCAACTATAGTTTAGTACACTGGTGGGGAGTATGTGGTCTATCAGATGTTGTTGGACTTTCAACTCTGATAGGCTTCAAGTCAGCATGACAAGTAGTCAATGATAAGGGGAGGTGTAGCTCACTCCTGCAGTCTGGTTTACTAGTGCATGAACAAAATGAGGACTCTTACACATCCTTTTCTCCTTTCTTCCTCTGGAGCTTCTGCAAAGAATAGATTGGAAGCTTTCACTTAGTTTTAAATGAAACAGGGCTTCTCATTACTTCCACAAAGGTTTGTGCTTCTGAAATTACAGTCGGTAAAAATACAGACACACAGAATCAAGCTATGATTTAAGATAATGGCTTTGTTCACTAACCATAGTTTAGGGCTAGGGAACAGTTTAGGGCCTGGGTATCTTAAGGAGTGTCTCCTTCCATATCCACCTGCCTGCCCCCTAAGATCTTTGTATGAGAACCTTCTTTGTCTGAGATCCTAAGGAGATCAGGAGACTGGCAACCTGGAGAAGGACATTTTCTGTGGAAGTGTCCTGGCTCTAGAACCCACTTTCCAGAATGGGGTGCCTGGTTTTGATGCTTTATTCATTTCAGTGTCAAGCAAAATCCTTTGCATTTCCCTGTATTTTAAGAATTGTGGTTTTTAATATTGGTTTATTATTATTATTATTATTATTATTATTATTATTATTATATTTCTATGCCGCCCATTGCTGAAGCCTCGGGGCGGCTTACAACACAATAAAATACATTGAAATACAATAGAACATAATAAATTAGATATTAATATTCTATTTTTGTCTGCTGCCACTGTACTGTTTTATACTGCTATACTGAGACTTCTGTATAGGATGGGATAGAAATGCCCCAAATAAATAAATAAAATAAATAGTTAAAACTTAACACAATTCCATAGTTCTGTGATTAGTTTTAAAATATCAGCAAAAGCTTCTGATGTCCTCAAGATGTTGCAGGTCTACAGTGGAGTGTTCAAATTGGTAAAAAGTTGTTTATTTACTGGATTGTTGACTTTATTACTTGTTGCATCTTTTGTACAGCACCAGTTCTGGGGGAAGAAATCTCAATGGAAAGCAGTGATGAACTGGAAAATGTAGCCCGAACAACAGAGCAGGTAAGAATACAAACCCTACATGTGTTGCCTTGACTAGTGTACAAGGTTGAAGAACACTAATGAAACAGACAGTACTTTCTTATGAACTGATTCCCAGTTAATTTAGTGAAATGCCAAACTTGGCATACAACTGAAGAATATACTGTAGGTCTGCATTACATTTATCCTCATCAGTAGACTACAACAGTAATCATATTAAATTAGTTACACACTAGAGTCAACTTTTTCAAAATTAAGGCCATTCAATATTCATATTTATCTATGCATCAATATATATTTAGCTATAAAAAGATACTTTCAATTTTAGTAGAGCTCATATTTTTCCAACTGAATATATATACAGAGAGAGGCAAAGGAAATCACTTTTAAATTCAGTTAATTGGTGAGGATTTGGGCATATCCTTTACTCTGCAGTTGAGATCAGTCAGATTTTAAAAACCTGTAGTTGCCTGTTATTACCTTATATGTTTAAATGTTATATGTTAGACATGTCACACATTGTGACATTATAGTTGTCATATTGTTAACCTCTTTCTCATACTAGATCTATATTTCATAGCTTGCTAACTATTATTGAGAGTACTATGATATGATCTCTGTGAAAATAATGTTTTCCATAACATTATTTATTCAGACCAAAAAAGCAATATTTAATTGCACATCATGTACTTGTTAGGGTCTACCTTGATTTTCAGAAACTTATTCAAATAAATATTCAGACATTCATTTCTCAAAATGAGTTAAATAACAGCATAACTTTGTCACTGATGTAAACATCAGAGAAAAGCCTAAGTGCCTTTGATTCTTTTTCCATGAACTATATCAGCTCAGTCAGGGTTGTTTTGCTGTATACTGCAACATTTGAATCCAAAGCAATACTCCTTTGAGTGCTACAGAAAGAAAATAAAGAATTTGTTACTTGTGTAATGTATGTTGTTCATAGCTCTAATGGACTTCAAGATTCTCAACCCAAGCTCACACTTTTACCAGCAAGACAGGTGAAACGCTGCTGTTCCTATCCTGTTTGTTTATATTTTAAATTGATAATAACAGGAGCCACATAAATAAAATCCAGGAAGCCCATAATCAACTTTATATAGCAAAACTTTAATAGTAGTAATAACATTAAAGATATATTAAACAAACTAAGGGCAAATCCTGTACATGTTTTAGGCAAAATAAAAATCCTACAATTTCCAGCATTCTGGGAATGAATTTTATGAGTTTTCTGTCTGAACATGCATAGACCACTGGGGAGATTATTTGAAGTTGTGGACAGAATTGTCATCAATATGCAGATGACACCCACCTCTGCCTCTCCTTTATATTAATCCACGTGAGGCAGTGGCTGTTCTGTATCAATGCCCAGGCACAGTAATGGACTGGGTGAGGGCTAAGAAACTGAGTCAATCCAGGCAAGGCAGAGGTACTGTTAGCAGATGGTTCCTCTACCTGTCACAGGATTGTTGAGTGTGTGTGTGTGTGTTTTCTCCTGCAACATTTAGATAATATATCAATAAATATACAAATTACAAGGGATCCTTCTTTATGACAACATGAAAAAAGTTAACTTGTGTACCAAATTACTGTAATTTCCCAGATGTCCCATGGATTGCTCATTAACCATGCTGGTGACTCCTTGGACTTGATGCTACCTTGTCTAATGAGTACTACACAGACTGAGCATCTTTTGTTGCAAGTTTGTTTAATCTCCAAGCATTTTGATGGTGCTTCTGGACTCATTTTAACCAGATCCTTCCTATTTATTCCTCGTTACTTCCCTTTTTTTTTAACCAATTCTGTCAGTTTAGAGAATTGTCCTTTTGAAGTCAAATATTTCTGTGCTGGACTGTTTTATCAATATATAGTTTAAATATATATTAAATCTGATAGTACTGTGATCACTTTTTCCAGTTAGTTCAGCACCATTGATATCTTATTCTGGGCAAATTCATTTAGAATTACATTTGAGTATGTCTCCCATCTGGTCTGTCAAAGTGTATAAATAATATATATAAATAATCAACTTCATTTAAAAAAGAAAGACTAAAATTTTAAGTCACAGACTTCGTAGTAAAGATGAGTTTACATGAGAATTTGAAGGAGGAATATGTGGCATATTTGCATCTAATAATACCTGTAAAAAGTGATACTGAATTTGAACATATGCTAATTTTGGTTAAAAAAATAGAAAACATTTAGAATGTCAACCCCAAAATAACATTTGTTAAAAACAGAGAATATTGCCTCTGTCAATTATTTATGAAGGTTTCCCTGCCTGCATAACTCTGAATCATGGTTTGTGAAGGACTAGCTTGCTCTGCTTTTGGTGTAAAAAAAAATGTGCTGGTATACTGCCTGCCATACAGAGCAGAAAGCCTGAAATTTCAATTACATGGCATTTGAAGTAGAATAGAGCCTGATGTTGGACATAGGGATTAAAAATAGCTCTCAATATTGGAACAAAGCTCTGTGGAAGATTATTATTTTTAGATTACATTAAAAATTGAGTAACTCACATCATGTGCATGAACACATCATGGTGCAAAAAGAACTGAACAGTTGATGAGCTCTGAAAATGAATGATGTACAGAACACTACATTTCATTAGTTGTTTTTCTTGAATAATAATTAGGCTTCTTAGAATCTCTTCAGTCAGGGTTAAGGGAAGTGACAATTTTGCAGGATCATGAAAAGTATTTCACAGGATTCTGAGATAGCCATGATAAATATTTCCAGGTCAGCTTGATTAGAGGAGAATTCTTCAGCTATTTATTTGAGACCCATGAATACTTTTCTTTGTTGTAGAATTGTGTCATAAAGCTGGCACTTTAAAGAACAGAAATCTGGAAAGGTAAAAAAAAAATCCAATCCACCAAATTAATTATTCTGGAAGGTGGCATTCATTGTTTAATAATCTCTAAGTTTTACTGCAATTAACTCAATTGAAATGTGTTTAATCTTGGTGTCTTTTAGTTGTGGTTCCCTGGTTTTTTGTATATATTCAGTCAGCAACCAGCCATTATGAGCTTTCCATTGCCCTTGTCTAGGAAATGGAAAATCAAAGGGTTCTGGTGCTACATCTATAAATCCATCATGAAATCTGTTTCTTAGGATAAAATATCTGTGAAATTTCTGTGCAAACCTTTTTTTGTTCTTTACAAGAAATATTAGAAACACTTAGTTGCAAAAATGTTTGCTAAGGACAAGCAGTGCTGGCTCCAGGTTATTGAGGGCCCTTGGGTGAGATGCCCTCCTGGGTCTCATCCCTTACTGAGTTCACTTTCTTGCTCCCATTGTCACCAGCTGCTGTTTGTTCTCATTCTCTTTCTGATCATTGCATGCAGTTACTTGCTTGACAGAGAGGGTCAATGAGGAAGGAAGCACTGGCATCCGCTCTTCATCTTTCTTCCTACCACTGTTACCAGGCCAAAAATAAGAGTCAGGAAGACAAGCTGACTGCAGTGGTGAAAGGGAGAAAAGGCCAGGGGACACTTGTCAGTCAATTCTGCAGGGATTTGTGGGCCCTCAGCAGATTTCCAAATGGGTCTACTCTTGACTCTAGCCCTGCAAGCATCTGTGTATAGGTGTGCCTGCAGAGCATCAACATTTCCAAAGGGGTCAGAATCTACTTCTCAAAATGGTGCTGGTTTTCCGTGCCAGATCTTAGCAGACTGACCTCATCTGGAATCTCACTGCATCTATTGTATTAAGTAGTATTACTCCCAGTATCATCATTGGTATGCCTAACTTTATTGCACCTACATTACTTAATATACTAACCGGCACCAGTGTATCTAGCTCTTTTGCACATTGCCTCTTGCCTCTTCCATTAGAGCTCCTCTCTACCTATCTCCAGGAAGCAGCAAAACCAGGCTTGCAAGGTTTAGACAGCGTACTCTCAGGTGAATGCAACAAGAGTAGTGCTGGAGTCAAACTCATATCAGCTCCAGCCACCACAATTCATAGTGGGCAGGTGATAGGATTATACTATAATCAGATCAGGAGGCCACTCCCATTTAAAAGTACTTTTACCAATCTAGAAGTGTTTTTCTACGTCAGGTAAACCTGGGAGAGCAAATCTAATATCTGAAAAATCAGATAAAATAGGGGGCTCACTAGATAAGTTGGGGCACCCTTTCTGCTTCCCCACAACCAGAATCCCACACCCGGATTCCTAGTTTGTTAGGCCCAAATTCATGTTGGGTATTCAGGAAACGGGACATCTAGCCGGTATTTAACAACTGCTAGCATGTGTTGCAGTGTGGAACTATGAAAACAAGTGGAAATATTTTGATTAAGGGAGGACTTACATGAGTGGTCGAGGACGGTATCATTCAATTTGCCCTTAGACATGCTGAGTCTGTTAGGGATTGGATTTTTCTTAAGCTGTTACTTGTGCAGAGTCCTTTTCCTTTGAAGAGTTTCATTGATCTTGCAGGTTTTAAACTCTAAATTGTTTATAGGTCATGTTTTTAATAAGTATGTCTGTTGTTGTTTTTCTAAATGGAATGACAACAAATGTATATGATCTAATGTGTTGCTTAAATTAGACACAAGAGATAGTTGCTTTTTTTTTTTAATATGTTGCTATTAGGACACACATTTTTCCAAATCTATAAGGAACCAGTTAAAGTAGTGATTGAATCTCAGCTTTTTTGCTGTTGTTAAATGTCCATGCCAGTAAGAATTTGTCTGGAGTAACCTGAGTAAAGGCAATAATAAATACAATGTAAGTGAAAAATAATGAAGACAAGGGACAAAAATACTTTTAAACACTGACATATGGCTGACCTCAGCTACTGGCGAAAGCTTCTTAACTTTATTGCTTTAACAGTTTTCCATGGCTGTGATAGCTGGGCTCTTGCCTCAGTTCAATGTTAGGTAAGTGTGGTCCAAAAGTAATATTGACAAAGATGTTTTAATCTCTTTTGTTTGAAAAATGTATAACACTTCGTTGGCAAATGCCATTCATATACAGAGTATAACATCAAAGATAA